AGACGGACAGACGGACAGACGGACAGACGGACAGACGGACAGACGGACAGACGGACAGACGGACAGACGGACAGACGGACAGACGGACAGACGGACAGACGGACAGACGGACAGACGGACAGACGGACAGACGGACAGACGGACAGACGGACAGACGGACAGACGGACAGACGGACAGACGGACAGACGGACAGACGGACAGACGGACAGACGGACAGACGGACAGACGGACAGACGGACAGACGGACAGACGGACAGACGGACAGACGGACAGACGGACAGACGGACAGACGGACAGACGGACAGACGGACAGACGGACAGACGGACAGACGGACAGACGGACAGACGGACAGACGGACAGACGGACAGACGGACAGACGGACAGACGGACAGACGGACACGGACAGACGGACAGACGGACAGACGGACAGACGGACAGACGGACAGACGGACAGACGGACAGACGGACAGACGGACAGACGGACAGACGGACAGACGGACAGACGGACAGACGGACAGACGGACAGACGGACAGACGGACAGACGGACAGACGGACAGACGGACAGACGGACAGACGGACAGACGGACAGACGGACAGACGGACAGACGGACAGACGGACAGACGGACAGACGGACAGACGGACAGACGGACATGGCTAGTTCGACTCGGCTGTTGATGCTGATCAAGAATATAAAAATTGAGATATTCGCTGATCAGCAAACAGCGATAAAATAACTGAATTAAAGTAATGAGCAATTGTTGAAGGCGAGCGCAGAACTCACTCAGCGAATATCGTATTGAGAGCGTTTGCTTGTACTCTTGCGGTTTATCGAGTCTTGAGCGAAACGAAATTTGAGGTCAAAAGAGAATATAAAAATGTATGAAATGTAAAAGGCCATGAATTTGTAAATAGTTTAAATATAGTATAAACTAGATAAGGTAACACTAAGTGTCGACGGCCAAACATTGTAATCGATAGGTAGAATAAGTGTTGGAAGGAAATTCTAGTATTTTGTAAGTTATCCTATATTGTATAGATTTCTTGGCCCATTAAGTAGGGGCCTACTAATATCGGCACTGTGAATGCCGCCTAAATTGTGCTTTTTCATTGTCTTGTGAATTGTAGGAGGGCACACTGCGGTAAGCTTAAGTTAGTTTAAAATGTATTAGGCTAATTTAATATATTCACAGAATAAAACGCGCGCCCTAACGCAACGGCCATAGGCCCTTGAAGTAACCCTCTCTTCGGACCTACTTGTGTGGGGGAGTCGTTAAAGGCAACTCCATATGAAGCAAGACAACTCCTTTTATTCGCAGTCCTAGGGAGACTGCAAGGGCAACTTGCGCTGGATGGTTTGATGCCCAGCTAGAGAGTTGCCAGGAGCGCATTCCCTTCCCAGTAGCAGAGTCGCAGTCAGCGACATTGAGGAGCGCAGCCAGCGCCGAACACTGGGTACGGACGGAGACGCAGTCAGCGTCAATTGAGGTATCCGCAGGAAGCGGACAGAAGGCGCAAGGAGCGTCAAGCGTCGGTGTGACGCCGGCAGCGGCACAAGGGTCGCCATTTTGAAGCGCGCTGAGGCAGCGCCATATTGAACCTGGGATGCAGCATTCCCCCAGGAGGAGTTCCCGGCTGAATGGAGGGGAAGCCACCCCTACAACAACGCGAACGGATCAGCAGCCAGCGAGTAGTGGAGCGGGAAACCGGCCGCAAGTGAACATAACCACGGCGGCGGCCATTGCTCGCCCAGCCACTACGGTGACTACAGTAGCGTCCCAACCGAGGAGTACTGCTGTCACAGCTGCGAGTTCAGTGCCGGAGGAAGGCCAGCCACTCACATCGTACCTTTTGGAGAGGATTACGGCGTTGGAGAATGAGCTGAGGCAGGTTAAAGTCCTGAACAGTGAGAGCACCGCCAACCGCGCGCCAATCGCAGTTGGCCCAAGCGCAAATGGCGCCAACAGTGGAGCGTCGGGGCGGCCGCCATCTTGGGGCGGGCCGCCAGTAGCCACATCTAACGGTGAGGCCCCAACTAACGGGGTCGGGCCTGTCTCACATAACTGTGTCGGTGCGAGCAGTGCGGCCTGCACGCAGCCGCCATATTGGAGTGGACCGCCATTGCTAACGACTAGCAATCATCTAGTGGAGCCACTGTGTGCTACGAGTGTTGCGCAGACGGCGCATGGATTCGTGCTACCGGGCGGGAGCATCCACAACGTGGCAACAGCATCGCCATTTGTTGGATCCTACGCCTCGATGACGCCGAATGGAGCCCAAGGAGCGAATGGGCCAAGAAAGCTTCCGGACCTGCCTGTATTTGGAGGGCAGCCCGAGGAGTGGCCTATATTTAACTGTGCGTTTGTGGAGACGACCCAAGCATACAACTGCACAGACCTGGAGAACAACCAGAGGCTGTTGAAGGCGCTGAAGGATGAAGCACGCGAGACAGTGAAGTCGCTGCTGATTCACCCTGGGAACGTCAGCGCCGTGATGGAGCAGCTGCGCTTTAGGTTTGGCCGACCGGAGCAGCTTATACGCAGCCAGCTGAACAGCGTGCGAGAGGTGCCGCCGATTTTGGAGCAGCACCTGGCGAAGATCGTTCTCTTCGCAACCCGAGTGAGTAACCTCACGGCCTTCTTGCAGTCAGCGAAGGCGGAGCAGCACCTGGGGAACCCAACCCTCATGGAGGAGCTAGTGGCAAAGCTTCCTACGAGCAAGCGAGTGGATTGGGCCAGGCACGCTGCATCGATCGAGCCCTTTCCCACTGTAGCGCACTTCAGCACGTGGCTACAGGAGTACGCAAACATCGTGTGTACGATTTTGGACGTCGAGGGAAAGGAGCCGACGCGTCGAGTCCTGCATGCGAGCGTCGACCAGAACGGATGCGAGCAGCGGGATGATCGGCATGGAGGTTGTCCCATTTGTGGAGGGCAACACGCTACGACGAGCTGTAGAGAGTTCATCGGAGCTTCGCCATCGAGACGGTGGAGCATGGTGAAGAGGCATCGGCTCTGCTTCACATGCTTACCAGCAGTCAGCAGTTTCCAGGCGCAGCCCGGAAAGAAGGTCGTCGCCACGAGGTGGTTACAGGGACCACGAGAGGAGCCAGCAGCCGGCGGTCCTCAGAAATAGCCTGGAGAGAAGAGCCCCGCAGCCAGCGGAGGCACCTGTGCAAAGGAATTTAAGCTGCATTGACGCCGAGGGAGGCCGACTATTGTTCCGTATACTGCCAGTAACGCTGTACGGAGCTGGTCGCCAGGTAGATACCTACGCGCTCCTGGATGAGGGATCCTCCGTCACGATGATCGATGACGAGCTACGGAGGGATCTGGGAGTGCGAGGCGAACATCGACAGCTTAACATTCAATGGTTTGGAGGAAGGGCCAGTAGAGAGCCCACCAACGTGGTGAGTCTAGAGATAAGTGGAGCTGGGAAGCCCAATCGCCACGCGTTGAGGAACGTGTACGCCGTTTCGAGTTTGAGTCTGCCGATGCAGACGTTATGTCGGCGAGATGTCCAGGGCGTGCATAAGGATGCGCGTCTGCCGATGAAGCCCTACAGCAACGTGGTGCCGAAGTTGCTCATCGGACTGGACCATGGACATTTGGGATTGCCACTTAGGATGAGGCGGTTTGCCAGAGAGGGACCGTATGCGGCCGCAACCGAGCTTGGATGGGTTGTGTTTGGGCCGGTAAGTGGACAATCGACTACGCCGTCACCGAGGTCCTGCCGTCTAGCCGTGTCAATGGAAGATGCGATGGAAAAGATGGTAGAGGACTACTTCGAGATGAAGCTCGCGCCACAGGTCGCAGCCAGCGACGACGCGCGGGCACAAAGGATCCTCGAAGACACCACGGTGAAAGCGGGGCGTCGCTACCAGACGGGACTACTCTGGAAGGACGACTACGCTGTGCTGCCACGGAACTACGAGATGGCCCACAGACGGCTGATCAACGTAGAGAAGAAGTTGAAGCGCAACGGGCAGTTGGCGCTGGAATACGATCGGATCATCAAGGATTGCGTATACAAAGGGTATGCGAGGAAGCTGCAGCAGGATGAGGTTGCGGCGAAGAGCGAGGCTATTGAGGTATCTACCCGAGCGAAGAAGATACATGCGGAGGCTGGTTTCGAACTATGCCAGTTCTCATCCAGCTCACCCATCTTGGAAGCGGCGTTGGGACCACCTAGAAGAGTCAAGAGCGTCGGATGGGGTGAGATATGGAGGCAGAAGAACCAGTGGGACGAACCACTACCGGAGGAGATAGGCAGAGCCTTTGCTGCCTGGCGCAGGAAGATGGACGTCAGTGAGACGGTATTATGGACGGACTCAAAAACGGTGCTGAGATGGATCGACAGCACCCACCGCCGGTATAAGCAGTTTGTTGGCAACCGAGTGGCGGAGATTTTGGAGTCGTCGGAGGTTTCCCAGTGGAGATGGGTACCTACAGCCGACAACGCAGCGGATGATGCGACGCGGTCGCAGAACAAGGCGGACCTTAGCCCGGAGTCCCGGTGGTTAAGCGGTCCCGCATTTTTGAGGCTGCCAGCGAGCAGCTGGCCAGTGCCTGAGGAGGGAACTGAGCGTGTTCCGGATGCATCTGATGACGAGGAGATGCCAAGTGAGTTTGCATTGGTGGCCACAAATGAATTTGTCATTCCGTTCCAGAGATTCTCGAGCTTGAGCCGCCTGTTGAGGACCACAGCCTGGGTCTTGAGGTTTGCGCGTTGGTGCCGCAGACAGAGAAGCGAGCTCGAGGAATACGGACTCACTGCAAAGGAGTGTGAGGCCGCGGAGAACCTGCTGGTCAGGCAGGCCCACTGGAATCGTTTCCCGACGAGATGAGGTCGGCGAAACGCAAAAGGAAGTGGCCAGCTCGAGCGAGATTCGAGGTCTGGCGCAGTACATGGATGAACATGGAGTTCTGCGAGTTTATGGCAGAGTTGATGCCGCGCGAGGAGGCCTGTGATACTGTCACACAGGCACAGTCTTACTGAGATGGTTGTGAGACACTTCCACGCCCAGATGAAGCATCAAAACGTGGATGCGACGATTGCTCAGATCCGGACGAGATACTGGGTCACGAAGATGAGGCGCGTGCTGAAGGAGGTGATCTCGTCGTGCAACGAGTGCAAGTTGCAGCGAACGCGGCCGATGCCGCCGATAATGGCACCCCTTCCAGAGGATCGATTGGAAGCGGGTGGATGGCCATTCAAATATACTGGATTGGACTACTTTGGACCACTGCTGGTGACTGTTGCCCGTCACCGAGAGAAGCGTTGGGTCGCCTTGTTCACGTGTTTGACGACAAGGGCGATTCATCTGGAGCTGGCGCATGACCTGTCGACGGATTCCTGCATAATTGCGATCAGGAACTTCGTCTGCCGTAGAGGACCAGTATATAGACTGCGGAGTGACAACGGCAAGAACTTCGTGGGAGCTGACAGGGAGGCCAGACGATTTGGAGACGGAGATTTCGAGACGGAGAGAATACAGAGTGAGTTATCCAGCAGGAGCATTGAATGGGTCTTTAATTGCCCATCGAACCCGTCCGAGGGTGGAGTATGGGAGCGGATGGTGCAGTGCGTCAAGCGAGTGCTGCGCCATACATTGAAGGAAGTCGCGCCGAGGGATCACGTATTGGAAAGTCTACTGATCGAGGCGGAGAATGTGGTCAATTCGCGTCCGCTCACCCACTTGCCGGTGGCTGCGGACCAGGAGGCGCCGTTGACGCCAAACGACCTGCTCAAGGGAGCAGCTAACCTGCCGAATACGCCTGGTTTGGATGCGGAGCGTCCCAAGGAGGGTTCTACGCGAAAGCAGTGGAGGATTGCTCGCATGCTGCGAGACCGTTTCTGGAGAAGGTGGGTCCTGGAGTACCTGCCTACGCTTGTGCGCCGCGAGAAGTGGTGCCGGAGAACGGAGCCCATCCGCCAGGGCGATATGGTCTTCGTCTGCGATCCTGCCTTGCCCAGACGAGAGTGGCGCATGGGCATCGTGGAGGAGGTCTACAGCGGAGCTAATGGAGTCGTCAGACGCGCCAGTGTGCGCGTGAGCGACAACGGACTATCTCGGACAATGTTGCGGCCTGTCTCGAAACTTGCAGTTTTGGATTTGAGTGAAGCGGTTCTTCACGGGGTCGGGGATGTCGACGGCCAAACATTGTAATCGATAGGTAGAATAAGTGTTGGAAGGAAATTCTAGTATTTTGTAAGTTATCCAATATTGTATGGATTTCTTGGCCCATGAAGTAGGGGCCTACTAATATCGGCACTGTGAATGCCGCCTAAATTGTGCTTTTTCATTGTCTTGTGAATTGTAGGAGGGCACACTGCGGTAAGCTTAAGTTAGTTTAAAATGTATTAGGCTAATTTAATATATTCACAGAATAAAACGCGCGCCCTAACGCAACGGCCATAGGCCCTTGAAGTAACCCTCTCTTCGGACCTACTTGTGTGGGGGAGTCGTTTAAGGCAACTCCATATGAAGCAAGACACTAATACTGTCTTCCCACACAGCGCATTTGTGAGGAACGTTTGGGATTTTTCACAAATGTGAAACTCGTGTTCCCACACAACATTATAGCGCATTTAGCATCCGAACAGCTGATCGATCAGCTGTGGCTCATGAAAACGTAAACAAAGGCTGTCGAATTGGCAGTTGCAAATTTGAAATGGAGCATTTACCAACTATTTTGGCTGTTGTAGAACAGCAAAAGGCACAGATTGCGTCAGAATTTATCCGCAATAAATTTAAATGAATTAAATGACAAGGAATTTTAGTTTTTCTAATGATTTTTCTTTAACAAAGAGCAAATTCCCCGAAGAGTGTCTATAGGTGGTATACGCATCCAAAATCTTTAATATAAGGTAGAGGCAGGCGATTTATATTAAATAGTAACAATTGGGGACATATTGGGGCAAGAATATACAGAAAAAACGCCCAGAACTATTTTGGGCACGCTTGTAGCTTTGGCGCCACGTTTTAAATTACATATCTCATTTGTTCCTCGCCAAATTGTTTACATTTTCGTGGTGAATGGTCAAATTAAGAAGAAGAATCAGAGTTGCACCGAAGAACTATCGCCTAACTATCGCCAAACAAACCGTGGTTAGATTTTAATGCTGAACTAACGCCGGGCCATTTGGGAAAATTCGGAACGGCAAAACCTTATGGAGCATTTGTTCAACGGATGCTTAATGCGCTTTAATGTTGTGTGGGAAGACCCTATAAGAAATATCATATGTAAATATCGATAGGAAATAAGCACTCGATATATTGTTATCGACCATGTACGATCAACAGGAGTACGAGAACTAATAAAACGAGCGCGAGTCAGAGAGAACGTGAAATTAAGAAACTTAAGAAATAAAGAGTTTTACATATCAGGTGTGGGGTAAAGGCCCGTATTAAATAGAACACCTTGGTTATGAAATATAGTGACATAATAAAGAAGACGAGATTTGAGCTGAAAGCTATTCTGGAGCGGGAGAAAGTGTTTTTCCAAGAAGACGCCGGCGCACGGCGACAAAAATTATAATGGACACGCAGAAGTTAGCCGAACTGGAGAAGCAGAACCTGGAGGAATCTAACCTTGAGCAGTTGGAACTGGAGAAGCTGAACTTGGAGGAGTTAAACTTGGAGGAAACTCCGCGTGGAGCCGAAGAATTTTCGAGAGCTGGAGGTGACGCTTGTGTTGGAGACGAAAGTGAACGTGAGCATGAAAGAGACGGCGATTGTGCGTCGGCAAATGGCGACCTAGTGGCGGCGGTGGACATTCAGAATCGTGAACGAGTGTCGGCGAATGATGAAATTTTGAGAAGCATTAATGTGGCGGCGGTGGACATGCAGAATCGTGAACGAGTGTCGGCGAATGATGAAATTTTTAGACGCATTGATGTGGCGGCGGTGAACATGCAGAGTCGTGAACGAGTGTTGGCGAACTTAGAGGCAGAGCTACAACACCTACAGCAAATTGAGAAGTTGTGAAGCTGTTAAAGAATAGTGAGTTAGGCAATGATAAAGACTTCTTAGAAAACCTTGGGCAGAACCGTAGAGATAAACTTTTTGAGAACTGTAGGAACCTGTACTTCCGAGAGAGCTAATCAAGTTGGCTTTGGATTTACATTTATGTTGGGAGTGTCATTGTAAAAGCTAAGTCAGTCTTATTCGGCGAGGCAAAGTGTGCAGAACAAAGCGAGAAAATAGACGTGTAAAACGAACGTAATTATTTGTATTTTTGGTGCGAAAAACCGGGTTAATACATTGGCGACGAGGTAAATAAACACAAAATAGTGAAAGTGTATAAATTATTAAACGCAAGAAAAAAAAAAAAAAATAGTAATAAACACAGCAAAAGTATAAAAAAAAATTTTTTCAATTGCACCATCCTTTTAGGCACAGCATTTGGCATGCAACGCATGTATGTATGCGTATGTGCATGAATATGTGAATATGCAAATGTGTCCTGGCATATGTATGTAAAGAAATTAAAGATGAGTGAAATGCAATCAAAGAATCAAAGGAGGTTTTGAAAATTTGTTTTTATTTAAAAAAAAAGAGAATACACGGTATACATGATATACATACATGTGGAAGAAAATTAAAATGTAGAGGCGTTAAAATGTTAAGAATTATCTGACAAAGATCAGAGGCAGTTAGCCACAAACTAAGCTGACAAAAGTCAGAGGCAGTTAAATAAAAAAAAAGAAATGAAAAAAAAAAAATAATCTGAAAAGAAGTTTTCAGAGGCAGTTAGCTACACACACTCACTAAGCTGACCAAGGTCAGGGACAGTAGAGACAGACAAGCACCCACTAAGCTGACAAATGTCAGAGACGGTAAAATAAAAGAAAGGAAAACTAAAATAAGGGCAGTAGCCAGAAGGCAGATACATGTGTATAAATGTTGATCAATGTTGGTCAATGTATGTACATATAAATGTTAAAGGAACTGATTAAGTGAAAGAAATTTAAAATTTATTTCAGATGAACGCGGAATTATTCATTAAACCATTCTTGTACGAAAGCATTGACAAAGCACTGCTTTGTAACGAGTGGGAGAAATGGTTGAGAGCATTCCACATCTACGTGGAATCAGAGGAGATTACTGCGGCCAAGAAAAAGAGGACGAAACTACTCCATCTACGTGGAACGCAGCTACAAGCAGTAGCGTTTTCACTAACCGACGCTTTGGTCGAATTCAACGAAGTTGACAAGTTAACAGCGTTTTTCTCCCCAAAGAAAAACTCGTCCTTCGAAAGGCATATGTTCAGGAGTTTGACTCCATCTGATGACGAGAGCTTTGCAAAATTTGTACTGCGTCTTAGACAACAAATTAAGAAGTGCGAGTTTGGATCAACAAAAGCTGAGATGGAAGAAATTTGCCTTAAAGACAAAGTAATCGATACATGGGCGTCGGGCGACCTAAAAAGGAAACTATTAGAGAAAGAACACTCATTGGATGAAGTAATTCAGGCTTGTCAAATTGACGAGGAAATAAAGAAGGAATCTGCGATGATGACAAGGAATACAGCGGAGCCGGTAAATAAAGTCTCGACAAGTAAACCACAGCGAAATTCCGAATGCGGGAGATGTGGACGTGTTGACCACAAAGATGACTGCTCAACTTGTCCAGCTCGACAGTCGAAATGTAATCGTTGCGGTCGCCTTGGCCATTTTGGGCGTAAATGTAGAACGAAGTTAAAAAGGGGACATTTTCAACCGAGATCGAGAAGCCAAGACGAAACATTTTCCTCCACTAAAAGGTCAAAGACGGAAAATTGTTTCAAAATCAATTGCGAAGATCAAGAAGAATGGATTAAATGCCGGATAGGTGGGGCAGACATATCTATGATTATAGATTCTGGTTCTCGCTATAATCTCATCTGTCAAGACGACTGGGTCATCCTGAAAAGGAACGAAGCCACAATTTTCAACGTTCGCCCAAACTCACAGAACCAGTTCAAAGGTTATGCTTCAGACCAAATATTAAATGTAATTTGCGTATTTAAGGCACCAATTTCTGTTGGTAAACAAGCGGAAATGATTGCCTCCTTTTTCGACATTAAAAAAGGGAAGCAGTCATTGCTGGGAAGAGAAACGGCCATTACGTTGGATGTACTACGGCTGGGACTGCAGGTGAACCATATCCAGGAGGTATCAGTTTTTCCGAAGTGGAAGGGGGACAGAGTCAAATTGGCAATAAATCATAACATAAAGGCAGTACAACAACCCATGCGAAGGATACCAGTCGCGCTGGAAGACAAGGTTCGCGATAAAATCCAGGATGCACTGAAGCGAGATATCATTGAACCTGTAAATGGACCCAGTGCCTGGATTTCGCCAATGGTTCTGGTTTTTAAAGAGAATGGGGACATCCGATTATGCCTGGAAATTATCCTTTGCTCGAGTTAGACGAGGAAAGTCGAGAAATAACAACGTTTATAACTCCTTTAGGACTATTTCGTTATAAGCGATTGATGTTTGGAGTCAACTCGGCGCCAGAGATTTTCCAGAGGAGACTTGAGCAAGTACTGTCAGCAGCCACGAATGTCCTAAATTACATCGATGACATTATCGCTTTTGGAAAAACTGAGGATGAATATGATGCGGCATTGGAAAGAGTTTCCGGCATTCTAAAAGAAAACAATGCGGTATTAAATGAAAAGAAATGTGTCTACAAAGCCTCTAAACTGACCTTTTTGGGGCACATATTATCGAGCCAAGTCATTGAGGCCGATCCAGAGAAGATTAACACAATTAAATCTTTTCGTCCTCCAAAGAACAAAGAAGAGACCCGGAGTTTTCTAGGGCTAGTAACATATGTGGGAAAGTTTATCCCAGATTTAGCAAATAAAACTGACTCGCTGCGACGACTGCTCAGAAAGGATGAAAAGTTCATCTGGGGCGTTGAGGAACAGGATGCGTTTGACAGACTCAAATCATTCCTAGCGGATATTCCAAAATTGCAGTATTTCGATCAAAAGCACAAAACACAGGTAATTGCTGACGCAGGCCCGGTTGCATTAGGAGCTGTTTTGCTACAATTTCATGGAGACGGGGTGCCGAAAATAATATCTTTCGCTAGTCGAAGTCTGACAGATGTCGAAAAGCGCTATTCACAGACCGAAAAGGAAAGTCTATCATTAGTGTGGGCAGTTGAAAAAT